CGCTGGCTCTTCCCACTGCCCCGGCGCACTCCCCCCACCCCCCATTCCGGGCAAGGGCTGAGTCAGCCTGGGTAAATTTAGCCGCCGACTCGGCGGGCGCGGGGGCTTCGCCCAGACTCAGTCGCAGAGTCCTGGCCCGCCCGCCTCTGCCCCCATCCCTACGAGTCCACCAGCTCGAACTCTGCGTTCAGAGCCCCAGCCCCATTCTCAAACTACTTCTGATTTGGGTCTCCCGTTGTCTCCATGTCACTCCCTACCCTCACCAGACAGACTAGGCAGGGCAGTTTGGGAGGTCGCGCTGGACCACAGCCTGTGGCAAGCTGACCTTGGTTCAGTGAAGGGGGGAGTGTCTCCTCCGGCTTCTGAACCTGAAGGGAGAGCATTGATCGGAATCACCCTGGAGAGTTCATCCCAGAACCTGCCCGGGACCCATAAAGTCAGGTTTCAAGTTAGCTCTTGCTGGGGAGGAGGTAAAGGAAGTGAGGTTCACCTCACTTTGGGCAGAGATCAGAGTTTCCTAAGGTCAGTCTACCTTCTACCTACAGGTCGATTCTAACTATTGAGCACTTACTGAGCACCTGAGAGGAACCGGGTGCTGGGTTGGGCTCCAGGAAAGAGAGGAGTAAGTAAGGCCTGCCTGACAATGGGGTGAAGATGAAAACACACAAATAACGATAGTAGTGAGCAGGGAGTGGTAAGTACTACAAGGAGTCAAACCAGGGAGATTGTATGGATTTTATGAGCTCAGGAAAGGCTCCCCGAAGGAGGAGACATCTGAAATAGAATCTGGGGAAAGGGGTTCCAAGCAGAGGGAAGAGCAAAAATGGGAGCACGGATATGGGGAAACAGTATGTGTAGGAAATTACCAAATGGTCTGCTTAGACTGCAGTTGAGGGAACATTCGGAGCACTTACAGAAGATAAAGGCAGGAGTGAAAACTGAGGGCACGCTGCGGTGAGGCTGGCCCACTAGGGAGAATGGGCCTTGGGCCTCTGGGCTTGAGAAGAGAACGGCCTTCAGGCCAGGAGGAAGACCGAGGAAGGCCAGGGCAGTGGTGAGAGCATCTGGCTGGAGTTTGCTACAGCCCAGGGCCTCCAGGCTCTTGGGCTAGTAGAAGAGGTGAGCCGTGCAGGATAGTGGGAGGTAGACTCCGCCACGCTGCGAAAGCCTCTTCGGGGCTGAACACCCAGGAGGCCAGGCTCTCAGAGCTCACCCACACTACTACCGTTACCAGAGGAATGGTGTAGTGTGGTGTTTAGAGCATGGACTCGGGGGCCTGGCAGCATGGCTTTAGATCTTGCCCCTACCTCACGTCAGCTGTGTGACCTTGGGCAATTACTCAACCTCCCTGCGTCTTGGGGTCCTCAGTGATAAGATGGGGTTATTAATAGTGCCTTCTCATAGGCCTGTGGGGAGGATTAAACGATTCAATATGTAAAAGCACTTAGAACAATGCCCGGTACATAGGAAGTAATACATAAGCGTTAAGCTCTGATTATGATTTATCTCTAGAGCTATCTCATTAGTATTTGGGGGTTTAGGAACAGGAGGATGGGGAAGCAGAGATAGGGCAAGAGGTGGGACAGGCAGCAGAGGCCAGGTCAAGAGGAGCTGGGAGGTCTGGGATGGAGACAGTCCCTTGAATGGGTGAATGGTGTACATGGAACCTCTGGGTAGTTAGAGCGGCGATGCAACCCACACCCCTTCCCCAGGACTTCCTCCATCTTTGCCTAAGGGTGGAGTCAGCACCAGCTGCTAAAGATCTGGGGAGAAAGGGATAGAGAGGAGGAGAGGAGTGACTGCAGGTCTGGGGGCCAGCCCTTGGTGAGCCATATCTCAGACTGGCCCTGCGTGGCACTGTGGGTGGGAGGCTGGAGGCTCCCTGCTGCGAAAATGACTTCTAAATCTGGCTGCGTCTGCCAGCTGGTCAGCCTTGAGACGGAGGCCACAACCACCCCCAACCTTGGGACAGCCTCACAGGTCAGGTGTAGGGACAGCAGACGCAGGAGGGCGTGGTCAGGTTGGGGCAGCAGGACACTACCCTCCCAACAGCCAGGTTCTTCCCGGGAAGCCCTTTTCTGTTGTCCCAAACGGGGCCCAGTTAATATGGCTTTAAAGGCCCAGCGGGCCCCTTCCCCTTTCAGACTCTCGTGGGGGCCCTGGAACTTCCCTAGATCGGTCACAAATGGATAACAAAGAACCAGGCCGTAATTATGGGACTTTAGAGGATTCAGGGTCAGGAGTGTGTGTCTGGGGTATGAGGAGGAGAGAACCAGGAGAGTTCTGGCTGGACCTGAGTCTATAGGGAGTGTGCAGAGTGTGCCTGTGGGGAAAGGTGAGCATTCACTCATTCATTTGTTCACTCATTCATTAAACATGTGTGCCAGGCCCTAGGGACACACAAGAGACTGAGACCTGGTTCCTGTTTAAAGGGAGCTTCCGGTCTAGGGTGAGATCTCTATCTCTGTGTGACATAGGGCGAGGGATGCGGGAGAGGAAACCCACAAAGGCATTACAGGGTAGACTGTATACATAATATATGTTAATGAAGGCCTTCCTGAGGATCCAGGCAAGCATGAAGGAAGGAGAAGTTCCCCGACTATGACTTCTGGGAGTGGGAATATACCTAAGGACTCTGAGAGACGGCTTACTGAGGGTGAATTTGTTAGTGAAGGAAGACTCCGTCTGCCTGCTGTCCTCTCCCCTGCATGTCTTGGCATGGGGTGGGGCTTCCTCCCTTGGAGCCCCGGATACTACATAGCTTTTTATGGGTCCTTTTTTTTTTTTTTAATTAATTTATTTATTTTGAGAGAGAGAGAGAACAAGAAGGGGAGGGGCGGAGGGAAGGAAAGACAGAATCCCAAGCAGGCTCTGCACCATCAGTGCAGAGCCCGATGCGGGGCTCGAACCCACGAACCATGAGATCATGAACTGAGCCAGGGTCAGGAGTCGGAGGCTTAACTAACTGTGCCACCCAGGTGCCCCTTTATGACTCCTTTTATTTTATTATTACTTTTAAAATGTTTGTTCATTTTTGAGAGAAAGAGCACTAGCAGGGGAGGGGCGGAGAGAGAGGGGAACAGAGGAGCCGAGGCGAGCTCGAGCTCGAGCTCCATGCTGACAGCAGTGAGCCTGATATGACTCGAACTCACCAAACGTCAGATTGCGACCTGAGCCGAAATCAG